GTGGTCAGGCATTGGAACAGGCTGCCCTGGCAAAGTGGTAGAATCACCATCCCTGAAAGCGTTCAAAAGGAGCGTGGATACGACACTTGAGGATATTGTTTAGTGGTGAACATGGCGGTGCTGGACTAACTGTTGGTCTTGATCTTAGAGGTCTTTTTCAACTTCAATAATTCTTTGATTATTAAATGAGAATCATATAATCATCAAGGATCATCAAGTCCAGCCATTAACTTGCCACCCCTAAACATTATCTTCCAGTGTCAGATCCAGGCATCTCTTAAAACACTTCCATGGATGGCAACTCCACCTCTCTGGGCAACCTATTCCAATGCCTGACCACCCTAAATAGTGGTCAGTACATAAAGAATCAATATGGTTCTGGTGCCCGTGGTAATTTTTAAAGAAATATTTGCATGGAATGCATAGAATATCCAGAGTACTTTTAAACAGCTTTTATGATGTCTTTTGAAAAGTTTTAAGCAAACATCAATCTGATTTTGAACTTTCTAATAATCTTGAGATTGATTGTAGCATTGAGAAAATCTGGCCTGAATTTTGCAGAGAGACCTTTTGGTTTGTGTTTAATTTCTGAGCTGGAACACACAAATTTTGCAGCAGACTTGAATGTACTAAGAACACATCTTCCACTGCATGGAGGATACTGTATAGATTGTCTTTTCACCATGCTAGAATTGAATTGATCCAACTAATTTCTCAGCTTCTTTTGGAGATGTTCACTTTTGGCTCCCGCTTCTTGTCTTTTAGGGAGGCTCCCATATGATAAGCAGCTTTCAAAGAGGCACCAGTTATTAATTTGTTCATCTTCATCTACCAGGGTAATGGCTTGCCACTAATGTTGGTCACAAATGCACCCACCCTCTGGCTGGAGAGGTATAATCCACCATCCAACAGTTGGGGAAGTGAGATGTGGAGAAATTTTTCTCCCAGTCAGCCCAGGCCTCTGAGAGGAACAAGAGTTACAGTTCCATGCACATGATCAGTGCTGGTTAGTGTTGACAACATTGGATTGAATGGAAGCAGTTAACAGATGTTTCAGTTATTGTTTTGCTCTGTCAGTGTGCATAGGCAGGGATGGAAAGGCACAGCACAGCACTGGACAAACATCATGCTCATTACCATGTTTTTGTTTCAAACTGTAAGGGCTGACACTTACACAACAAGCAAAGACCCAGCAATTTGGACTACACTGCGTAAATCTTTCTTAGGCTGCCTCTTGTGACAAACTGGATAGCTGCAAGTACCCAGGAGCTGAATACAGCCCTGGTACAGATGAATGTTTGGGAGCTTCATCCTTGGAGCTGTAACCAACTCAGCATGTGTCTCCAGCACAAGGATAGTCTCTTGATTCTCTGCAAAGCTAGGATGATATCCATCTCAGAGGTAAGCTCTGAGAATGCATTAGTGGAGAGGTTTCAGCTTCAATATGGCACTTGAGGCTGTTCTGAAGCAGTAGTAGTGTTAGTGCTGATCAGATAGTGGAATTTCTGTCCAACAGTTCCCTTCAGAAGCATTGCTTTTCCCTAATCTTACATTGGTAAGAAAACCTGAGAAATCAAGCTGTTTCATGAAAGAGAAATCCTGAATATGGTATCACTTGGGAATTGCTTAGCATCCCACAGGATAGAGATCTAAATGGGAAGGACCTTGTGACGAGGTGGAAGGGAAACAAAAAGGCTGATGCTGTTTTATGTACAAAATACTTGTTATATATATAAATTTAAAGACTGAAAGTAAGACTATAAGATATTCATATATGACCTGCATTATGGTACTATAACATCTAATACTATGATCTGACCCCAAATTCCTAATTTTAAGTGTCTAATTTCTCTATATAGTTTTTGGTAGGCTAAGCATTTCTTAGGGACAATTCCAAGCATTGGGACAGGACAGAGTTAGATGCACATAGCTTTTGGCACAGATACTTTTGCAGGTACTGTCACCCTGTTTCTTGACAGTTGGCTTTCATGCATTTGCTTTTGATGATTTATATAGTTAAGACAAGTTCCTAAGTAGTTGCTTCAAAAAATCTTGGTTCTAGCACAGTGGAAGAGACAGACTGGGGAAAAGTGTGCAGTGAAAAGAGCATTGACTGAAATATGGCCTTAGGAACCCAAAGCTTGTAATTAGTCCTTCATGGACTGCATTTTCTAGTCATACTGGTTACTCACACTACCCAGTCTGACATTTTAGAAGGTTTCCATTTTCAGAAATCATTAATCATTCATCATCTGAGAGCAATGAGGCTCAAGGACAATTCTTTAGATTAGACGAAAATCACTCTTTGGTACCTAAAGTAAGGTTCTTGGTGTTCAACTTGTATTTTTTAGTACAAGAAATTATTTTTGTGGACTGAGACATACATCCCTTAAAACATTGTACTTTGTCTTGGATCAATACAGATTTGTCCAATGCACTTTTGTCCAAAAGATGAACAGTGACAATTACAATATTAGATTAATCTGACATTCAGTCATCTGTCTCTGTTATTTAATCCAGATACTATCTATGCATATATATATTTATAAACACAGGACAGCCTAAGTTTAACACATTCTTTCATAGTGGCCCATGAATTACTCACTGGTTTTGGAGGGAGACGACTTCTGGGAAGAGGCAAAATATTTCTGAAACATATACACAATAAGTTAAGGTGAGGAGGATTTATTTACTGAATTGCTTGGCTCAGATATGCTTTACAAGATATCTAGAGAGCAGGAGGTATGTAGTAAATGGATTTAATTTCAGCTGTGCATCACTGCTGTGGTTGTGGTGATGCTGTGCCCTTGGTGTGGAACTACTCTAGAAGAGCTTCTACCCTAGACGTTGTGTCCCCCTGCAGCTGTGCACAGGACCTCACCAACCCCATAACACACTCAGTGTTGTGGATTCCACCTGCTCTTCCTGGGGCACATGACCTATTTCATAAAGCAATGTTGTAGAGATGGTTACAAAGCAGCTTCCTGCACTTCTGGGGACACAGGAGTGAAATAGGCTGGATACTCAAGTGTCCTTTGTCTCTTTTCCTCCAAAGACTTGGAACATAATTTGTGGATTTATTGTGTCCAGTTTCTTTGCAAGTAATCCTGTGCCCCTGCAAAAACATCTCATTTGTAAGGGTGCAGAGATGGCTAACAGGAGTTTAAACTGGCTTGCAGAGATGTTTTATTCCTGCACTGGATCCCTAAAGAGATATTCCAAAAAATACCATTCTGGCTTGACTACAGAAGTTCACAGGGAAATGAAAGCTTTTGGTTCTCAGTTTTCTCCGAACATCTCTAGCTATCTGAGTGTTTATTGTCTAAAGGCTACACATTAGAGGGGAGAAAATGTTGTCTCTGCTAATATTTTCTCTTGATTTAAGCTGCTGTGGCCTACCTGGAAGTATCCGGCTTAGGTAGCTCTCTGGTCATGCTGTGCATGTGGGAGTGCTCTGGATTCTGAGCAGTCATAGACAGAAGTGGCTTAGCAAACCTAGTAATAAAACATGCATTGAGACAGGAAAATTATATTTAACCATTATTAATACAAAGAAAACCTCTCGTTCTCCTCCCCTATCCCCTCAAAATTGTAAGAAGGACCCTTTAGAGGTATTTCTTGTGAATAAGTATTACATTTGGGTTATTGAAATTAGATTCGTGGATTGTTAAGGGGTTGGAATGGATCTTAGAGATCAATTAGTGCCAACTCCCCTGCCCTGGGCAGGGACACCTCCCACCAGAACAGGTTGCTCAAGGCTTCATCCAACCTGGCTTTGAACACTGCCAGGGTTGGGGCAGCCACAGCCTCCCTGGGCAACCTGTGCCAGTGTCTCACCACCCTCACAGGAAAAAATCTTTTCCTGATAAAAAGCTTTTTCCTGATAAATTAACATAGAAATGGGTGAAAAAAAATCTTTGTGGATACTCTTTGTGTAGGCAATTTAAATAGAGAAATTTACTTTATGTATATCTTCTAGAGAAAGAATTACCAAATTACCAAATATGTAGTATCTAGATGAGAAAAAAATATTTTCTGACAAGTTTTAAATAGTGCATAAACATTCAGAACAATGGGTTACCTGTTTGCTGGTGGTGGTGATGGTTTTTCCTGTAAGAGAAAATGCACTGAGTTTTTTGGTCACTTTTTGATTGAATAAAATACATTTGTATGATCCTATTTATGTTAGCATATTAAGATATTATTTTTTCCATTGTGGTAGATATTTCTACCAGAGCTCTGTCTGGTAATCTGCAGTAGGATGGGAGAGACAAGAGCTAAATATCAGTAAATCTGCTTTGGCCAGATGTTGTGTCAGTACCAGCAAGTGGGAAGAGAATTACTGTGTCAGAACTGTCATTGCTCCTCTGCTGCAGTTCTGCTCCTGAAAAGCATTGCCTTCAGCTGCTGCTTCCCAGAGTGGATCACAGGACTAGGAAACTTCTGCCCCTTCCCATTTACTCTATTCTGCAGACCTTCTGTACTGGTTTGGCAGCTTTTCTGAGAAGGGAGTGTCAGAGAGTTTTAAGTGCAGTGAGAGATTTGTTCCCATTTTTCCCCCCTTTGAGAGACTGTTCATGTTGTTTTACAATCACATCCGTACCCTGCCTGACAATGAGAGTCATAATGTAGAAAGGCCTCACCTCTTCTTCAGGAACCTCGTAGACTTCTGTAGGACAGGGAGGAAAAAATGTATTCTTTGGTTAGCAAAACCATACTGCATGTTACCAGAAAAACTGATCTGCATTTGTGTCAGTTGTACTTCTGACTCTGGAAAAATAATGTGGAGAATCTGCTCAGAATTTGATTCTGCCTCTAAAACCCTGGAGTAGCAACACTTATGGTCTTCTAGTGGGAACTTCAGGCAAAGTCCCTGGAATTCTGATAAGCAGTCACTGTATTAATGAAGCTTCCCCACTACCCCACAGTCCCAAACCAAAGCCAGATGAATGCTTGTGTTGCACAAACCTGGGACAGTTTGGAACAAATGTGTTATCACACCTGTGCTAGCATTTAGCCTTTCCCTGACTCTCGGTGAGGAAGAGATCAGGTGAATCACAAATACAAGCTGGCTCATTTGTGCCAGCATCCGTTCCTGAACTCTGACCCACAGATGTATTTTAATTCATGGATATTCAAAGCCAGATGAATGCTTGTGTTGCACAAACCTGGGACAGTTTGGAACAAATGTGTTATCACACCTGTGCTAGCATTTAGCCTTTCCCTGACTCTCGGTGAGGAAGAGATCAGGTGAATCACAAATACAAGCTGGCTCATTTGTGCCAGCATCCGTTCCTGAACTCTGACCCACAGATGTATTTTAATTCATGGATATTAAAAGCAAAAACCACAAACATACTTTTCTATGTCCAGTTTGTTCAATGAAAATGGAATCCTATTTCAATAAATTTCATGCCAGGCTTCATCATTTTATGAAGCCTAAATGTCTTAGTTCCCACCAGGGGGAGATGTTTTATTTTTCAGTAACATTTGTCAGGAACTGGTCGTTGCTTGGCACTGATTTACAGAAAGGCTGACATTGAAAAGGGCATTTATAGGTGTCTGGAAAGTAACTCACAAAAATCCTCAGTCATTCAGAAAAAATTTTAGTTACAAATTTGTAGTTTATGACTTGAAAGCTAAACACATTGCTGATGAATATGCAAAGCTTTTTAAAGAGCTGTGTGATCAGTTTGTAAAGGTTACATTCCAAGCAATTAATGAGATAATGACGATGCAAAACAACTCTGAGTTGACACAGGAAGATTAAACAAGTATATCTGCACTTATGAGAGCAAACAGGATTATTTGCTTCTGCTTTTGGCTCTTTTTCCAAATAAATTGCTCTTTATAGAATTTAAATGGGAACACTTGGGAAATGGGAATGAGGCACATGGTGTGATTCTTGGGGATGTCGTCTGCAGGGTCAAGAGTTGGACTTGATGATCCTTGTGAGTCATTAAGAAAAGTACTGCCAGCAGGTTGAGGGAGATGATCCTGCCCCTCTACTCAGCTCTCATGAGGCCACACCTGGAGTATTGTGGCCAGTTCTGAGCTCAAGACAAGAGGGACACGGAGCTCTTGGGGCAGGTCCAGCAGAGGGCAACAAAGATGCTGAAGAGACTGGAGCACCTCCCTGATGAGGAAAGGCTGAGAGAGTTGGGGCTGTTCGGTCTTGAGAAGAGACAACTGAGAGGGACCTCAGTAATGTATTCAAGCACATGAACAGGAAGTGCCAAGAGGATGGATCAGGCACTGTTCAGTGGTGGAAACCTATAAAACAAGAGGCAACAGCAAAAACTGATGCCCAGGAAGTTCCACCTGAATACAAGGAGTATTTACTGTGCAGTCACTGAGCAGTGAACAGATTGCCCAGAGAGGTTGTGGATTCTCCCTCACTGGAGGTATTCAAGAACCATCTGGACCCAATCCTGTGCTATGTGCTCTAGGATGGCTCTGCTTGAGCAGGGAGGTGGGACCAGATGACCCACTATGGTCCCTTCCAACCTAACTGATTCTGTGTTTCTGTGGGCCCCTTCCAACTCTGAATATTCTGTGATTCTGTGGCTTATCACAGGACATGTAAAACATCAGTCTATATGGAATTTGTTTATGGCTACATCTTGATGTGGTTTTAAAGTATTTGGTCTTGATTTCTATAGTGAAATGGGATTACTAACATAGTGAGGCCTATAATTGTTTTTGCTATATTGATCCATTTGCATTCCTCCACTAGAGCAAAAGACTAAATTAATTTGGGGCAAATGACTTATTCTAGTCTTCTTCATGCTGAAAATGGATTTACTATTCAAGCTAGACAAAGTGACTGCTACAACATAAAAAAAACTAATAAACCTATGCCACAGAGTTTGTGTTGTGAATACATCAAAAGTAATTTAATATTCCTCAATCTTAAATTATTTTATTTTAACAGTGATAGGAGCTCCACATACCTTGCATATCAGAAGTAAGAGATGGCTTTGGAGAAGTAGGGGGAGCTGGCTTTGTTGTCTTCATAAATCTGTTCACAGGAGCTAAAAACATATTTTATTCACATTCGTATATGCTTACTCGTGTGTGTGCATACATGCACATATATTTATATATATACAACTGTTAACAAACTAACAATGTAACACTTATAAAATAAGAAATATTAAGTAGGTACAAGTGACAGCCTTTTTGTGTGATCTTGAATAAGTCAACTGAGGCAAAAAGCAGCTTTAATTTTAAAAGGGAAACATTATTCATTGTTCATGCCTTCCTGAATAGGCTTGATACTGTCATTGATGTCAGAGAGCAGAACTACATACTCTTCTCTGTTTACTTTTCACCTTTGGTCTGTAGTACTTTTGATCTCCAGCTAAATATACTTCAAACAGTGAGATTAAAAAATATTAAAGAAAAATAATAATTCAAGGTCTGTCTCTATCTAATATCTAAAAATGCCTCTTTTTCTCCTGAGGCACTTCAGCAAACAGGGAATTTTAATGCTGTGGCTCCCTTGGATGAGGAGGGAGATCACATGCCATGAATAGGTTTCTGGTTGTACAAGGGCTGGACTTTGAAACAGCTGAGTGAGAGAGGCAGAAATTAAACATGGCTTCCAATAAAATTAAAAATAATAAAGCCAAAAATAATTTTCCTTGGCCTTATCATGGGCCAAGGGAGTCAACTGCCTTTTTGCAGGCTGTGCCATCTTTAATAGCTGCACCTCCTCTTTGATCCCTAGAGACAGACATTAATTTGATCAATTTTTTTCATTGTTGCTCCTAATAAAGCCATAATTATTAGCTTAGATGACTACAACTCACTTCTTGTAGGTAGTGACGTGCTGCTTTCTGTGGGTTCAATATAGTTATCATCATCATTGTCCACTGGTACAATGTAGTTATCCTATGAGAAATGCAGGACAAAAATATACCAGTTAAACCTCTGTCATATCAACAACCTGTTGGGACTGAAGCCCTGGCAGCAGTTTAAAATAATTCCCATTTCACAGTGACTTCTATTTCAGGCATTTCCTATCCTATGAGGATGGGATTCCCAAAGACTGAAAACCATGGACCAAATTATTCCAGGTCTGGACCAGTGGGTGAAACCCTCCCTTCCCTTTGGTCCTGGAGTAGCCTTTGAGTTTACTCTCTCCCCATTGCCTGCAACTTCTTATGGATGATCAAAAAGCCATTTTGTGGTCTAAAGAGTCTCCTTGGTACTCAAAGTAGTCAGGTATCCCCTCTAGGAAACAGTATGGTACTTGCAGGTCTTTGTTATCTACAAAAAGATTTGTACCATAGAGGCTAAGAGACCAGGCAATGGCATTGCTATAACCTTATTGGTCTGGGGTCACCAGGCATTTAAATGGTCAAACCAAGTGTATCTGTTAACTTTACCTCATCGTCACTACACTCCTTGGGCTTTGGTGGTACTTTGGGTTTTGCAGCAGATGGTGGCAGTGGCAGGGATGGTACACATGGTTTCTTTGGTCTGGATGTGGCTGGACTGGGTGTACTGGGGAGAGGTTTGTTGATGGGAGGAAGCTGCTGGTGACTGGTGCGATTGTCTGTTAAGATGGAAGAAAACCCAAATCAACGTTAGTAAAAATTACACATTAGCCTCTGCATTGTCTTCCACTCCCTGTGCAAACAAGTCTTTACTGTGGTTGCAGCTCAGGTCAAAAGGCAAACCTGAGCATAGGTGGTCCTGATGTTGAGACTTGTGTGTAAACTGGTCCTATTTCATTGCTCTAGGTAGCAACCTATCCCTCTGTATCAGGCTGCAGACTGTGCTTAGACACTGACTGTTGTACGAACAACTGTTTTACTCCTTGGGGAAAAGGAGCAGTGTAATCCACTACTTAGTGTATCCTGTGCTGGTAGGAACTTTGGTGATAGCAAGTGACAAAGAATGTATCTGACATATGAGAAAAACTGCTACACAGCACAAAGGATGGGACTGGAACATAAATTATGCCAGGTTCTCTGTGGTGTCATTTACGCTTCCTTCCCTTTCAAAGAGCGCACAAAGTGCAGATACACTTCTGTGAGTACATATGTGGTATTTTAGCACTTTGATGAATATTCTATAACCAGTAACAGTCTTGTATCATACGAAATGAAAGCAGGCATCAAGTCATTGTTTCTTTTCCACATGTCTCAAATCTTCATCACTTCAATGCAATCTGTCCGTGGTTGAAAAGAATCAAAACAGAAAGGAAAGAAAAGCCTTTACTGATATAAATAAATTCTTGATTCTGTACTGTTTTCCAGGATATGTATCATCCTCAGTACCAATCTTGAAGGACAATATGGAGTGAATATTTGGGCTGCTTTGCCTGCTTTTTTACTGCTTTTGAAATAACAATTTGAGAAACAGAGAAGATTAAGGGACCTGTCTACACTTGTGCCTAATTTTTAATAAGAATTCCTACATTAATATATATGGATTAATCTGGAGCCAAGTTAGTGATATCTCCTATACCTTTGCTTGAATTTCCTAGCTAGCAGATGTTTATTGACATCTCTAGGACACATTATATTGAAGTTCTAAACATCACTACTAGTAACACTAACCTGTTTCATGCTGTAATAAAAAAAATAAAATAAATCATACCCCTGAATGCTTAAGACTTGATTATCAGAATTAAAAGCAAACTCTTGAGGAAATAACAGGTTAGCCCATTTGAGATCACTTCTCTTCTGGTATTGATAAACAAGCAATTACTATGACATAGTCAACTCTTGCATAAGTACCTGCATATTCACCCCTAGAAATAGGGAATGCAGAGGGAATCTTCTTTTTCTCCTTCTCACTTGGAGGTGGCTCATAGCTGTCATCAGGGTTCTCTTCACTGGGGATCACATACATCTCAGAGTCAGAGTGGTCATCTGGATTTTCATAATCACTGTCCTAGAAAGACAGAATGACTTCATAGCAATGTATAACACAAATATTCTTGCAGGAGTAAAATCAACTAAATTACAGGAATGCATCCTTGAAAGGACACATGGCATTCCCTTTTAGTGATTCCTCTTTAAACAAATAGGCACTTCCTCCCTGCCTCCCCTTCTGCTCCTCCTAGGAGCTGCTTGCTCCCTTACTTCTTGCTATCTCCTAGGAGTCCTTTCACTTCAAGAGCTCAGTCTTCAAATTATGGACCAACAGCCTGTTTTCCTTAACAGGACAGTTCCTTTCTAGCTCCAGCTGTAACTCTTGATGTGCCTTGTCACTTTCTCTCCTGTTCCTATTAAAGGGATACTCTAGATCTAACTCCAGAAGGAAACTAGTCCCTTCAGGCTGATGGCTGTACTATTACTTTATGTGGCTGATGACCATGACTTGCTTCATACTAAAGTTTGCTAAAACCTCATCAGTTGATTTTCATTTTTAGGAAGAAGTGGCTCTCCTCTCCTTACCCCTCCCACTCTTCCTCCCCCAAATAAAAATCTTACTGGTTTCTGAAATCACTGTTCAGTTTGAGAAGTGCCTCAAACTGATGCCATGTGCTTGCTTATCCAAAATGCTTGGTGTCCATGGCTATCACTGACAGTGCCTTTTGAAAGTTGACAAGTAAAAAAAAATTGAGGTTGCTAAAAATCAGTGGCTCCTTGTGAATAAAGCTGATGTAACAAATAAGGCAACAAATAAGACAACATTTCAGTAGTATGAAGTTCAACCACAAGTAGACGATTAAAAAGAAACCCTTTTCTTATTTCTTGTGCTAAGTTGTTGCTACACCAAAATATGTACTTACGAAATCATCTGACCATTGATCCTCTTCATTGTCTGCATGTTCTAAACCAAACATTAGAGTTACTTAGAGGAGATGGAATAGTGAACATACATGTTTATCTTAGATTGGTTTTTCAATCTATACTTATCATATTCAGTTAAAATAGATTGGTCAAAATTTCCTAAACAGTTCAGAGCAACACATCTGCTTTGGACTGAAGAGGAAATTAAATGCTTGCTTGCTTGTTTTTGACAAGTTGCTTCAGAACTGTTGGAAAAGCATTGGAAAATGGGAAACTGCACATGGTCTGAACAGCAGAGCATGCACTTTCCCCACCATGTCCTGCTAATGCAGTCCATTTGTAAGTAGGAGTGAGAATTCCTATATAAGGAAACTATTGCTGATCTCTGGGCCCTGAACCTTCTTTGTTAAAGCTCCAAGACAGCACACTAATTACAAGTGTTTCTGTAAAACATGGAACAATTATCTGATAACTTCCAAACGTAGTCCTCTTTGTTTCAGTTATTGGCTTAACAAGACTGCTGTTAACCTGTAAAATTAGCCATGAACAAGTTTGTGGGCAGTGCTGTATGATAAGCAAATCGAGTTTTACCTCTAAGATAATTCATTATGACATTGCGACATTGATAGTATTGAGACTTTGAATCTTTGATGATCCATTTGTCCAAATTTTTCCCTATTTACTTTCACATCCGTTTCTAGCAGGGAGAAACCTGATGCAAATTTTCATCTATTTCTAGAGCAGCCTATGCACAGAACCCTGATAAAGACTGATTTGAAAGAGTAGTTACTTCCTACTTTTTGTTCATACTGGCATAATTAGCCCTTTTTTTTTTTTTGCTTGCCTCTCATTTCAGAGATGTAAACTGCCCTAAGAGTTGTTGATAACAGTATCATGTTCTCTCATTAAAAGCGAATTATGGGGCAATCAAATAATGTTATAGGTATATAGATGTCAAATTTACACAGACATGCAGTTTAAATTTACATTAACACAACCTTACCTGAAGCATAATCCCTTTGTGGTAGACTTGGTGGAGGCTTCTTTTTTAGACTGCAAATGATAATTATTACATTTATGATCTCAGAGGAAACATTCACTAGAAAGGAGCTTTATAGCTAGACACAAAAAGGCTGATAACAAAAGATACCTGCTGCTGAAGAAATAGATTACCATCACAGATGCTTAGCAAATAGCTGCAGGAGAATGCTTTGAAAAGCTAGAAACAGATAAGATATTAAAATATACTCTGAGATTTTATCCTTTTTTTTTTTTTGCCAAGAACATATGTTGAAAGAACAGCTTCCTTGCTCACCCTCCTCTCCTCTTCATTTCCTGTGCAGAGACAGATAACATAGTCGGCAGAGATAAATGTATGTGTATTGGAAGAAGAAAATCTGTTCAGGTTCACAGAGGCTTTGCTAAGAAAGTGATGTAGCACTCTCCATCTGTATTTTTAGAACTATAATTCTGCATGCATTTTATTTGCTGATTAATGGATGCCAGGTCTCTCAGCACTACTTTTTATGATGTTATGTCCCTTTTCGGGTAAAAACCGTTAGAGTGGCGTTTGTCATTCCAAGATATCAAAACATAATTTGGAGAAATACTCAAAGGACCTTTATGGCTATACATATTCATATGTATATGCATGCGCATGTATGTATATTTAGCAAGCAGAAGTACACATATATGTGTGTGTATTCATGTCATGTCATCCATGTCATGTCATTCATTCACACACATATATATGTGTGTGTGTGTATTCATGTATACTCCTTTCTAACTTGCAGCAGTCCAAAGTAGTAACTGAATTAGAATCAGCTGAATTATTTAATCACCCTGTAACAAAAGAGAAGAATTTGGTTTTAAAGTCAAGATGAGCAGCACATGTGTGACATCAGAGGCCAGACTAATGTCTCTGAAGAGGAAAAATCCCCAACCCTTTGCTTCTTGTAGCCAGATAAAACATTAACACAATTGATGACATTAAAATGACTCTTTAAAGTGACTTTTGAACACTGTCTGACAGCTTCCCTGTAGCAGTAATGAGACCTCTCCGTGGACCTGAAGCTTCACTCACTCTTCAATCAGGTCCTAACAAATTCATTTGCTAAAATAAGCAAACCATTTAAAAAGAAAATGTCCAAAAAGAATCTAAAATGTTTTCTTGCGATCTCTGAGCAATAGTGATGGCTACAAATTTTGCTTTACTACAAGAATTTGACACTCAATATTTGGGTCCTGAGCATATTGCTTAGGTGTCATTGTTCAGGTATCACTGTAACTCAGGGTGGTGACATGTTGGCACTAATAAATCAATTTACAATCTTTTCCTGTCTGTTATTGGCTACTTCTCAGTTGAATTAATGGAATTCTGTTGTCCAGATGGTCACTAAAAAGAATCCCATGCATGTGCACGAATAAATGGTGCTGAAGCTCAAAAAACCCCAACCCTCCCCAAACCAAACAAAAAAACCAATCTAGACAGATTATTTTTGCCATGTTTACCTGCTTTGTTCATTATTAACAACACTAGGGATGGAGACCTGCCTCCTCTGAGGTTTTAACTTCCTGCAGCATAGTATAACTCAGTGTACACACAGTGAATTACAAAGCATTCTCGACAGCTTTGCTCTTCTCTTCTGTCCAGGTTAGCACAGCCATGTTAGAAAGAAAATCCCAGGGCCACTGCCAGGGCATGTCTCAGGTAGGGAGAGTAGACGAAGATCTACTGATGGACTTTGCAACATGTCTATTGTGAGCTGTTCACAAATAGTAGAGACTTGGGGAATAGTGGAACTAAGGCAAGAGGAAGAGGCTGTCTGGGTTGCATTGTAAAGCATGTGGCTTAAGCAACATTACACATTTCTAAGCTAAGCAGAAGGCTTCTACACTTTGTCTCAGGCCATGTAAATCCTGGCAGTGGCCCTGACAGAAAGTGTAAATACGTTATAATGAAAGCACATGAAGTACAGAACAGAGGGCTGTGTCTAAGCAGCCTATCATGCTACGGTGCAGCTAGGAAATGGCATACCGATCCCAAGTATCTTTCCCAGTTTTGCAAATTAAGGCCACTTGTTCATTTTGGAACCTGAATATCAATAGAAGAAAAGAAATAATGTTTCTGTCACAGAGCTGAAACAGTTCACAGCCTCATCTCTATTTGCTAGATTCTTTTCAATAATCTTATTCAGTCTAAGATTCAAATCCACATAAAAAGTCATTCTTGCTGTACTGGTATGATTCACTGAGTACCAGAACTGGAATCCAGATTCTTCTGAAGTCAGCTGGAGCTTTGCTTTACAAGAGCCAGAACTTTACCCACAACACAAGCTCAAAAGACATATCCTCTATGCCAAGGTATGGTTACCTAGCCATTTCAGATCCTGACATCATTGTCCACACAGATGCTCTCAGAATGGCAATTGACTCTGCCCTATTCCCCTGAACTTAATGAGAAAGGACTGAGAGAATCAAATGTCATCCAACTGAGTATACATATTTAAGTATATTTAATCCTAGTACATACATTTTACCTTTAACAAATAACCAGGTAGCATTTGAGATATTTCATATAATGGGGTATAGATGCTCTGACACAAGAACAGAATTCGTGGTACAGAAACTCATAACAACTTTCAGGAGAAGAAACTATTCCATTTTAAAACAATACATTCCAAGATCTCCCCTCTGTAGCAGGCTGAGTTTGATCCAACAAAACATTTAGGCATGTACTTATCTTTTCTCACATAGAGCGTCCTGCAGGAAGTGCAAATATTAATCATGTTTTGAATTTGTAGCGCTTTTTTTTTCCTGCACTAAATGGAGATTTTTTTTTAAAGTAAACTGCAGTAGAGGTCTGGATGTTTAGCACCAGTAACACTTGTTTTTACAGGTTACACCCAGAATGGCAACCAAACAGTAGTGGCCCTTGACATGTAGAACTTTATTTTCCCACAGTAGTACTTCCCCACTAGTGTTTCTGCTCACTCTCCCAGCATTTAATGTGTCTGAAAACTCCTTGTTTTCACAAGCCCTTCAACTTTTTCTGTTGTTAGTCTGTACAAAGTCCAGTCCCTTCTTAGGAACCATTTTAACTCAATAGTCTTGACAAAAATTATATTGATATATTGACTGAGTTGAATACTTATAGTAGGTATTAGTTTTAAGTGCACTAGATCATCACACTTGTGATTAAAAGGTAAGTTAATTGAACTTTGCCAGAAACAGAGTTCCAAAAGGTGTGATCCAGCTGACAAAGGAACTTTTCCTGAACTGTGTTCTCCTGACCTCGTGGAATAGTTTGTTACAGATTTGGAATTATGTGGCAATTGCACAAGATAAAATTAATCTTAATTTTTTTTATAAGTGTTATTACTAGTCTCTCGCACATTTTCTTTACGATGTTCTCTGGCAGTGAAATGGCACCTAGCTGTGATTTATCTACACCTTGATGAAATACTGTTATATTAATAAAAATCCTGGCACTCAAAACATTCTATTCAGCCTCGGAATGACTTTCGTGTTTCTTCAGAATACAGATAAAATTGGGTATTACAGTTCTTCCAGGTTTCCTTTTCTAAATGTAGTCAGCTTGATTTTAGTACTTTTCTCTCACTCTTTGGTTCATAAAATACTTCTTTTCCCTCTGCCAAGACTTTGATCATGCATGTCTTCTAGTTGCAGCTATGCAGGTTGAAGGGATATATAGTGACATGACTCCAGTTTTCTGCCTGAAGTTACTGCCTAAGTAATAAATAGTATAGAAAAATGGACCAGACAAGTCTGAAGAGGAAATTTAGGCTAGGAAAAGGATTGTTCCTGTGAGGGTGGTGAGACACTGGCACATGTTGTCCAGGGAGGTAGTGGAAGCCTCAACCCTGGCAGTGTTCAATGCCAAGTTGGATGAAGCCTTGAGCGACCTGTTCTGGTGGGAGCTGTCCCTGCCCAGGGCAGGGGGTTGGGACTAGATGATCTCTAAGGTCCATTCCAACCCCTAAAAATTCCATGATTTTATGAAGTTAAGACTTACCCAACCAAAAAGCTGGGTAAAAGCATCTTCTTTCTATTTTTCAGGTCATTTGGCAAACATGATTTCAAAAAACGGATATACTTGGATTGTGTGCAGTCTCTGACATAGCTACAAGTACATGATTTCTGATGGCTTTGCAAAGGAGGTTTTTATAGGATGTGATGTCGCAACAAGGTGAATAAACTGAACTTCTAGTTTCTTATTCAACACAGTAGGCCAGCCCATACCAAAACTTTAGGGTGAAGTCCTGACTTTGCTGTATGTGCAGTATGTTTTAGCACCAACTTCAGTGGAGCTAGGATTTCCCTGAACAAAGTCTAGTGGCTTAAAGCTTATGAACTACAGATTTGTGCTATGTCTTTACAGTCTTTCAAGCATAGGCAACCATCCTGCAGCCTGAAATCTGTGATTTCTCTATTCCCCTGATTTGCGTTGTCAAGGATGACAATGTCAAGGATGAAAAAACTGCCCCCAGCTCTTGTTGTTTATATGATGTCAGCAGTGCTCATTGCTCCTACACTTGAGGACATAATCCTCTTTGGCACCCTGACCTGCACAGCACCTGGGACTCCAGTATTGTAAACAGTTCTGTGTGTGATTAAGGGCAAGCAGGTAACTGCTATCCTACACTGGCCAATACTGCCAGAAAATTTCGGGTCAGGATGGGGAACAAACAGGAACTTTTAAGCAAATGAAGGAACAACCCGCCAATTTCTATCCTGTTACCACCACTGCTCAGGCTGCTTTCCTCAGACCTTTAAGACATGTGTGGATAGGAGATAAATCCCTTCCCACCTGCACTGCACAGATGAACTAGACTGGAGAGCAGAAGTCTTGATGCAAGAACTTTTCTTACATTTCTGCATAATCAAGAGCCAATCCAGATTTTAGAAGTGTTTCAGCAAATACTGGTAAAAAAAATAAATCGAATGTATTCAATGAGTATTTGATCATTCTTTCAATTTGAGTAGCAGAGGCTTACAGGATACATCTGTATGACAAATTTAAGCTTCAGATAAGCAATTTGAATTATCTAAAATTATTTCTACTTATAATCAGTTTGAATTTGATGGTTCTTTTTCCAGCATATAGACAAATTCAAAACTGTGCCACATAAAGCCGATTTTTAATACATTCTTTCCTGCTTCAGTCATGTCTAGAGCCTTGGCATTTAATAAAATAATCCTGTAACTGAAATGGAAGTAGTGATCAACTGGTTGACCACACTTTTTTTAGAGAAAGCACCTATTAAAAAAATAAAAAATAAAAATAAAACAGAAATCCTCCAAAGCGCACATTGAGAGGGATACAGCCAGTGCTAATACTGTTAAGCTTGGCACCTCTTGTACATATCAGTGTTGTTAAATCATGCTTTTATTGCAAGTCTCATTATGTGCTGAGTTCAGGACTTGGGTTCTGAAGTCATGTGCAAATGTAGGAAATTCTTTGTTCAGTTTTTTAGAAACTAGTCCTGATCTTCATGACTGCAGAAGAGATTAGTATGACTCAGATGAACCACAGTAGCACCAGACAGATTATTATACGTATATAATTTTATATCTCAGTTTGTATTCCTACAGCTGGGAGAGTTGAAATGTGAGCTTAGTGCTGCAGTCATACGTTAAGAGAGCTTTTCTGAGCCTGCTCTTTTTTATAGGTTTTTTCTTTTTTAATCTTGAGTGAATCAAAGAATTGCACTGTTATAGCAGCAATCTTGTATCTGACATTTAATGATGGCACCTCTAACCTTCCCAGCTTTTGCTACATTTGGTTCTTGCTATTTTTCCCTTGTCTGTCCTTCTACTCTTACTCTCTAGGAAGGACACACAATCAGCGTAATACTGATTAACAGCAGAATTCACGTTCAGGCAACTATGGCAGACAATTTGTATCCTCAAATTATAAACTGGAGATGCTTCTGTTGTGTCTGCCACTTGCTTTCCTCTCCAAGGCTTTTGAACTGGGCCCACTGCAACATTATTAATTACACTTAAGCTACTACTGTGAAGTAGGAACACACCCTATATTAAAAAAGCAACAACCATCCTTCCTCACACTCCTACCCTTCAGAAACCCACCAAAAGCCTTGACAGCCTAACAACTCATCCCTGTGAGCAGGTCCCAGGGGAAATGATGAGGTTTTTGCAGATGGGTCTCTGAACACAGTAGTCTATTTACATCACACTGTGTGGAAAACAAAAATGAACTTAAAGATCCAAGCAGTTGGAAGAGGATCATTTCCAGGGAAAATCTCCTTTTGTTCTTGTGTGGAAATAACAAGTAGATATACCAAGTGACTGTGATTTACTGTGAATTGCAGTAGTGTTACAGTGAGAGGATGAGTAAAGGAAAAAACAAGATGTCAAGAGTCTGATATATCAAGAGTTACCATCAGAACCTGCTCAAGGTCTGTGGACAGAAACATAGCTGTGAAAACGAGACCACAAAGGAGGTACTTCTCCTTCCTGGGGAACAGGAGAGCCAGGTGGTTGCTGCTGCTCCTAGAAGTGTGTCCCCCTCCTCTTCCAGGGACAGCAGCTGCCCCACAGACACCAGCCCTGCCTGGGCTGGCAACAGGGGCAATACCTGAGCCATCCTGGCTTTCCAGAGCTGTTGCATAGCCAAATCAGGCAGAGCCCTATTGCTTCTCCCAACAGCCTACTGATCACTTCACATATACTGAGAATTAGCTCTTTTCCTTCAACTGAGCCATCGTGGTCACTCTTTAAGAACAATCTTAAACAATGTTTCTGTGTGTCTTTTATGTACAAGAGCTGTACTTCTAGACTTTAATATGGTTGCCCTGGAAACACTGCAGACATGGTGTACTAATTAGCTTTTAAAGGTACTTAGTACTTTCATTGCCAATGACCCATGTAAAGAAAGACATCTGAATGAGAAAATTGCATCCAAATGGAAGTTCAATGCAAACGAGCTATTGCATTAAGAAAAAGTGTGCTAAATAGCTAAACGGTTTAAATAGATGTTTGCCTGGAAACAGTGAATAGTGTATTCATTTGACAAGGATGCAGAATTACTGGAATTTCTTTCTATGTATAAATGCACATGAATATTTTATGATACTGTCATGCACGTGGCATTGATATGCATCCTGCTGTTCAGCACTTCTTACTGGAATAAGGAGGTTAGGTAATGCTGCATTTTGTTTTATGGGACTGAAACACAGCAGGACTTAATATTTTTATGGGAATTTTAACTATGATGTCTGACCAGTTGGTTCAAGGTGGAGCTCAAATTAAACTTAATTGCAGCAGGTAGCCTAATTGGTTGCCTAAGGAGAAAGGTACAACAACAACATCCAAACAACAAGCAATGATGCTTCCCAAAGAACATGGAATAGAAATGCATTTCACTCAAATACTGGGTTGTTTTTTTTTTCAGGGCTACAAACACAACCTGCCACTGGAGTCCAATCCTGCAACTACTTTGTGATAGACACTTAATACTCATCACAATTCTGCATGTCACAGTCTGAACTGAAGCTCTTTACATACACTGAAGTACATCTCTCTAGAATAACATGGTCCCATCACTGAAGTACTATACACTGTCCCATCACTAAAGTACTATACACTATATTAGCACTCTGAACTTACCCAGATCGATAAAACTAGGGATTGGCATTTCAAACTTACTTTTTGAACTTGTTTATTATCCCACTTTCATTTTTCTTGATGTCATGCACCATCTTTTGAAGCTTCCTGTAAGACATTAAACAAAGCCAGTGTTAAACTTACCACGTGGTCGAACACCCATTTATATAAATTAGCAAAAATATGCTTTTTGTGTCTTCATTAAGTAGTTCAGCTGCTAAATCATTTGCCCATCAAGTTTTACTCCTTTTTTTTAACAGAGCTCTTTAGCATTATTTGTGTTATCCTTCTTCTTAATACAATTAAATGCAGGTTAAACAATCTATTGAAGACTAAGTGCATCAGGAAAAAACACCATTGCCTAAATTAATAGTTCAGACTATTTCAATGTTAACATTTTGTTCAGAACTGACATTACAACACTCCACAGCTATAATGGGAATGCCCTCTGATTTCTGACCTTACATGGGACACTTCATCTCATGTCCACAGTGTTTGCAGCTATAATAGCAGAGGGAAAACAATACATTCCTGGGCCCAGGCCTTTTGAGAAACCATGAGAGTATCAATGACTCTGAGCTGTAAAAACTCATGATCTCAGAACTCCAGTTACATGGACTGATATCTGGAACCATACATTGTTTTATTCATCAGCTGCATGGACCTCATGAAAATTTTCCTTTTAATCAAGGCAATTTAAGTGGAATATCTCATTTTTCACTCAGCAAATATCATTCAGAACCATACATCCCTTCTTATTTGAAAAACCCACATCACTAAAATCAAGTCAGTGACAAGAACACAGATATAACTCTTTGTAAAGACTGACTTTATAGTGAAACCTGTTGAAAGTCTGCAGATACTAGAAACTTCTATAGAATGCATCTATATTTTCAGTTTCTTCACAGTGTGTTCTTCCTGTTCACTAAATTTAGCATCTTTTGTTAGACCTGAGCTGAAGATTTTAGCACAACCAATAAAGTATTGATTTTCTTTTCAAAAAGTGCTTAAAAAGTTTTGCCTTCCATTCTTCATTGTAAGTTGTCCAGGTCATTCCACATTTTAGTCTTCCCTACCTCATCTCTGATGCACAATAGACTGATGCTACCAATAGACTCTTGGAAACTTTGCTTACAAAGAGAAGTACAAGCATCAAAGTATTCTTTCTTCTTTTTAAAGCTTCCTTTAAACTTGAAACCTTATTATTCTGAAGGCTGAGTAATGCATAGTGCTTGGTGAAAAAGAGACAATCTTCCAGCCTCATCACTAGTAACTGGAAAACTCTCAAAAGTTAAAATAACTTTTTCAAAGGAAGTTGTTATTAGATGAGAATTAGCTAAACAAAAATCAGGGAATAACTATCTTTATGTGATTATTTGTCCACAGTCCATGGTTTGGGCTGAGCAGATATGTAGCCACTCAAGGCTTCAGGTAGCAGTTGAGTACTAGGCTTATGCTGGAACCTTCCTACCTAGGCTACTGATTTTAGACCAATTGTGTTACTCGGTGACAAGCAATCCCACTTTATGAGACTTGTTTAGAAAGAACAGTACCGAGCGCTTCTAAGTTTACAGAAAACTGAATAATGAAGCTTAATTTTATTCTTAATAATGTTTATTAACAGAACAAACTGATCCTTTCACTGTGTCAGCTGAAATTGAAGGACAGTCCATGTTCTTGGCAGCCCTGTAATATAACAACATGGAATATCCTGCTCTGACATGCTACATCATGGGTATGATACTCAAACAGTTATCCTAGAGCCTAAATCTTTGCCCAAATTTACTTAAACAACTCAACCTTTTCTTTCTAGGTTCTCAAATCAGAAAAAAAACTAATCATGAGAATAGAGGGCAAATAATTAATGAGCACATCTTTAACTATTGCTGAAAACTCAAACTATTAATTTACAGCAAAAAGATAGTGTTACCTACTGAAAACTCAAACTACTAATTTGTAGCAAAAGGATACAGTGTTCCCTGCTGATATAAAGAAATCAATTACTTATAGGTGTGAGAAACAGGTGCACAGCAAAATGTTCCAAGATTTCCTGCAACAATGCACTACACCAATAGAAGTAGTTTGGATTATTATCTAAACTAATCCGATACATTGAATGTGGGGTGAAAAGCTCAGAACTTCTGCTTTTCTGTGGTATTTGCTGGGGTTTTTTTTCCTAACAGATTCAGCTTCTGGTTATGCTTGAAACATCACAAATAGCTATCTTCTGCAGTTTATTGTTTCTGTGTTGTGCCCCAGCTGGCACCTGGCAGTGTCTATAAATGAAAAGAATGAGAGGTGATTGAAAAGGTTTAGTTCTCGTTTGGGGAGAATGGTTGCCTGCAAGTGTTTGTGGTTCTTTCAGAAAGGCTTGCCAGCCTTTCATTAGGAATGCATGTAATCACCAGTTACATTTTTACCCATTTGTTGTTTGTCAGAGGTAGGACTCAAACATCAACAGCAACAAAATCCATCTAATTCTAGATGTCTATCTGAATATTGTTTATTGCTTATCTCCAACATTAATATATCTTTAAATTAATAGAAATCTGGCTTTAATTTGAGGAAAGCTGGGCTTTTTTTCACATTACTGATTCTATTTTATATTGTCATTTGCTTGCTAAAAATACCTACATACACAAAATTACAAGTAGCTGGAACAATTTGCTTTTCATGTGATCACAGATAGGTGAATTGATCAGCATATCACAGGTGTCCCATGAACCTTGAAAAAGCTATGGTTTGAAAGATCATTTTAATACGTATTTATACTTTTTTTAAAAAAAGGTGCATTTACATTAGACATAATCACATGTGCTGCTGCTGATGTGATATTCTTCTTTGCATGCAGATGGACTGAAATCAAAACATTCCCATATTTGTATAATCAAATATCCTGAGAATCTGTCTCTCTTGTGTTCCTTATTCTCTTTATGGAGTCATTTAATTTTCTAATTACAGCTCTGATAAATTAGGGAGTACCTAATATGTATTTGTGTGATTTTCTTCAGTTTTGAAAGTTAGTCAGCTCTTAAAGGAGTTGCTAGAATACTTGTTTACTGCCTTCAGGCAATTTAACTTGTATCAAGCCAGTGAGAGGAGTAAGCAGATAACCAGTGCACTGTATAGTGGTAAGTGAAGGAAGTCATCAAGCATGATGATCTTCTGTTCAAGTGGAGTCCCCTTTGATCCATGAAGTTGAATAAGCTGCAGAAACCAGTCTATCCAGTTAGCTAGGGGCTGAGATTTCCTGAGGTGCCAGTTGATATAATAGGCAACAACTGAAAGGTTTTACAAAAAACATGCCTGACTCGTGATCATAGAAATACAGTAGAGAAGATGAGAGGCAGACAGCAAAGTCTATGGCATGAGGATTCTCCAAATCTTAAGGTTCTCAGTCCCAAGCCTGAAAGCCATTCCAGAGCAATGAGGAAAGTGAAGCACAGAAGGGCATTTATACACTGAATGTTTTGCCTGGATCTGTATCTCTGACCAGCACTAAAATACGTTTTGTATGGCTCTCAAATACTTTACTTAAAGGTTATACTCCAAGTAAAGAGGTTCATTCTGGGAGGATCTTATCAGAGCAGCAGCCCTGAGAGTATCTAGGAAATGGAGGATACCATGGCCCAATGTAGACAGCACTTGCTTCAGGTACATAACTACAACTCTCTCTCTTCACGTCTGAGTCATGACCTTGTTACCAAGTAATGTTCATTCCCTAGTGTTCTCTTGGGATGAGCAGATACTAGAAACATTCAAGGACCTCAGTCAACTGGTACTGTAAATGAAAATAATAAGTAATGCTAGTTTTACCTTGCATGGCATGTAATTAAAGATAATCAAGAGGTCAAACTTAAGAGTTGCTTCTTAACTACAAGCACCAGCTCTTCATTCAACCTTGCTGAGAGCTCTTTATGTAAAATCAGGCTTGCAGATAAAGGTGCAGTCTGTGTCACTGCAAATCTTTGAAAACACATTTCAGCAATAGATATTTTGAGACACAGTTTAATTGTGACAGTATAGACTGGATGAGGCTCTTTGGTCAGAACTCACTGCACACAGAATAGATTTTCAAAGTTCTGCAGATGAGAAGTTTGGAAGTCTTGGCTCTAGGTGCTTCTAAAACGTTTTCTTACAAATACATTAGAAATTCTGTGAGACACCAAATCCTGAAATGAAACACTTTTTAGCCCTGTGTTGCTATTTTTCTTATCTAACCAATTTGAACCTCCAGCAATGCAGGATTATGAGATCTATTGACAAAGGTATCAGATCTATTGATAAAGGGGTCACTGGTTGTGATACACATGTAAAGGAAGGTGGAATGTTTCACCATTGCAAATACCATATATCCTTACAGAAGGATTTGCTGTGTCACAAAATACCTGGCTGCACTCAAGAGCTAGCAGAGCTGCCTTGAGATAAAACAACATGAAACAAAATCATCCTCTCTTTGATCTGGTCACAGCTCAGTGTATGAGGAATGCATGATGAGTGAAGGATGATGGGTGGACCTGGCCCGTGACACATCCCCACCTTCAAACATCAGCTGGAAGCCTTTGGCTCTTCTGCACATACATTATCCCACATAAGCTTTCCAGAGTGAAAATAACTTTTAAAAGAGAAATATATAAATAGCATGAAGACTATGTGTAAGTGTGTAATAAGCTTTCAACTCAGATGTGAGATGAGAGACAGAGTTCCCAGGCTCAAGAAAGAGAAGTCTGTCTTAATTTCAGACAGATCTGTGTAACATGGAATTCTCCCATCATTTAGACTAATTTTTGAGAAATTGTATTTATAATTATTATAAATCTCTGAAGACATTTACAAATATATATTATGCAGATATGTGTACCACAGCTCAGAGCAGTCAGCATGAATTGCTCCCTCAGTGGCTATGACCTCTTCCTGCTCCTGGAAACAGAGAGGGATCTCCTGTGTGCATGAACAGCACAAGTTCACCTACTTGTGCACAGTGAATCCAGTACTTTGCACCTTCAGTGCATGCACTGGTTGTCAGTATTTCAGCTGCACAGTGATGACAGCTCACAGCAAGTGAGACCTCTCTGCTGTAAGACTGTCTTACAGGGTCTCTGGAGTGG